TTAGTGTCTCTTCTTAAACAGCCTTGTGGTTTAAAGGACCAGAATTAGCAAGTTAAAAAGTATTTCCTTCTGCATTTGTGCCATTGTAAATTAAAAGTACAATTACATTGCAAATTAAAATGTAAGACTTGAAGTAGCACACTTTTTACACTTGACTGAGCTGAACAAACAGCCATTTCAAAGTATGAGGACGTGGCAGAAGACACTGGTTTCCAGACTTTAAAAGAAATTAGCATGTGTGGGTTTTTTCCTGTGGGTGGAGAGAAAAAAAAAAAGGAAGCCAGTGCTTTTCTATGTTTCCTAGCCGAAGTATTTGAGAAATGCTGGCTCTGACTGAGTAAAGCTGAGGGCAGTAAATCACCTAAAACATGCATTTCAAAAATGAAATTTCCTTCTTTAAGAAAAGACAACCCCTCTACCCCCTTTGCACAGCTCTTCATCTATCTGTCCACTCCTTCGATTTTCCTCCTCTTTACACAAAGTCTCACTTTTCTAGCACATAGGAAGATACTTCTTCCATAAAGGTGCCTATGTTCTTTAGGATGGAACAACGTGCAGTACAGAAGTTGCCTGTCTCGTTCATATTCTGGTTTGATAGTTTATAGCAAGTGTATTATTCAACATGCCTTTTGGAATGATTGTAGTCATTCTCTGGAAAGTGATTTGAAGGCAATGCTCCCAGGGTGAGCAAGTCTGGCAAAGGGGTCCTGCCTACCCTATCCAATCTGCTTTGTTTCCGCACTAGTTGTATCCATCACCAGAATATAGACCTCTTTTACGTCACTCTACTAGCAATGAAAAACTCGGCCTTTTGCAACAAAGCAATGTCATCAGGACAAAAGATCATTTCCACCCCAAAGGCCGTATTACAGAATCATCTTCTTTCTTTACCAAGGCAATCCCATTATTTTTTTTCTCTTTATGAGCACGGTCTAAACTGCAAGCACATGCCCTAGGCCACTGTTCTTGTGACAAATGCAGCTCTGGCAGCAAAGTCATACTGCACTCTTGCTTGAAGTGTTTGATCTGCACAGCCACGGTGGGATTATTGCTCATTAAGCAGACAATAGATGATTGTCTGCAACCTGACAGCCATTATTATAGACATCATTAGATCACCATAATCGTAGAATTTCCCTTGATAACTATATCATAAATTCATACGAGTCTACCATACCTAATGAGTAACAGCTCTCCTACAATTGGTAATCAGTCAGATTTCTGTTGTTTGTCAGCATTCAGGAAAAATTCCTTGATATATTCTAATCTCTAGAGGAGATAAGAGAATACCATAACAAGCCATGAAGGACAGGAAGAAGTAAAAAATTATCCAGAATGGAGAGACAGCTACTTAAACAGAAAGGAGACCATTTTACCCCGCAAATAACAAGCGTATCTAGAAATCGGAAAGTTTCCATTCTGTTTTGCCAGTTCTGTTTGAAAACTTACGATTGAGGGTTTTGTAAGCTTGTGGGGACTAAAGTCAGCCAAAAAAAGAGGAAGACCAGGGGAGGAAACACTGGATTGAGCAAGGGGGAGGAATCTAGGAGCAGTGCGGTTGCTTGAAAGAAAATGCGCTTCCAATTCTGTGCTTTCACTTCCGAAAATGCACTAAGTGTTTTCTTTCACATTTTGAATTAGCATTTTGGCCTACCAGTAGGTTATCAGATCAGCTTGTTGCACCTTTATCAACTAATAATCATATCTAGTCTTGGTTATGGCCACCACAGAGTTCTGTGCTTATTTGCTTAACTGTTAAAGTGGTAGGAAAGAGAAATTTAGCCTAAAAACTCCAAAAAAGATTGAAAAGTCCTAGAGTGCTTACTGCAAAAAAAAAAAAGGCATTCTGGAGAATTTTCAGCCTGATTAAGGCATCCTGCACCCCTATAGACAGGGCAGCATCCTCTGGGAGGGAGATTCAATACCCCAACCACTATGCAACAAGAACAAAACATTCTTTTTTCCTTTATTTTTTAAAGAAGGAAAATAATTGTTTTGCCAGCAAGCGCAATGAAAATGTCGTAATTACAAGGAATATTTGGAAGATGGAATGAGATTTCCAAGGCGGGAAGAACCCTAATTAAACTGAAAGATTAAAGCAAATCTCTTCTTAAGAAGGAATCCTGAAAGTTATGAGCGCTATGTTTCAGAGCTTTAGAGCAGAATTTGCAGCACTAAAAATCCCAGTAGGGCGACTGCTCACACATCACACCAATAAAAACACAAAGGGAAAGGGTGGAATGCAAACAAAAAATGGCACCATTTCTGGGGCAGGAAAGATTATTCTGGGCATTTGGGGCTAGAGGATGCTGTGGCTAGCAGCTTGCAGTTAGAGTCAACATTAGCAAGAAGCAAAAGTTTGGCATCCCATCATGTCCCTCATTACTAGAGTACCTAACCTTCTGACCTCTGCCCAGGAAAATGAAATTGTTACATGAATTAATCATTTGGGCAATTAATGGCGAAAGTGACCTCAGGTTTCCAGCATAGTCTCTGGCACCAGTGAATTGGCGATGATGTAAGCTTCCCTGGGAATACGCTGGCATTTTGCCCATTTCTGAACCTCGCTGTCGACTCTGAGGACAGAAGCAAACAATGTATTCACCCAGCTAGGACTAAATGCTGCAACTGAATGCCAGCCTACTCCTGCTGCAGTGTCACAGGGGTGCTTCTCCTGCCGACCCCATGTGTGCATCTCCCAAGAGTATGCGTATCCCAGAACGAGCAACTGCAAACAGTTTCCTTGGAAGTGCATGGAGAAGGACTGTCTGGGCACACAGACCGTGTGCCGACCCCCTTTTTCATAATGGGGACCCTCCATTCGACACCTGGAGGCTCTGCTGTCTTTTGGAGCAAGTGAATATGCAAAATCTTTGTTTATTGCTCTCTTTCTAGGGCAGAAACAAGGAGAGAGGAGTCAGTTTTACTGGGAGTGCTATTTTCAGATGGCCGGATTTATTGGTTTCATTTCTCAGCTCGCTCTGTTGCCATGAGTTTTCTGAAAGTTGGACTCAAACTCAGATATGACCATGTTTTTGCTAACTTAGAGAAGTTGGGGCGAGGAGGAAGGGACATGGGAAATAGAGAGGCAAAAATCTGAGAGAGGCAGAAGTCTTAGACCCCTGTTTCAGTCAGTCAGTCCAGGTGAGGTAAGCAGAACACGGCTCCGTCCCAGCAGAAGCTGGTTCCCTGTGGGTTTCCATCATCAAAGACAAACGTCCTCTGCAAGGTGGAGCCTTTTGTATGTGTGCCGAGGGAGTGGAAACATTTTCTAGTCCCTTCAGTCTCACTCAGCACATATACAAGCTGTGAGATGGCGGGGGCTCAGACTCGCATCACAGTGGCACACGACAGAGACACCTGAAGAGCTCGTGGACAGAGGGTAAAGGCGAGTGGAGAGGTGCTCGCTAATGGGCATACTGGCCACGGGTGGGTTTTCCCACCTTTGGGCCATGTGAGAAAACTACCACAGAGAAAGGATTTTTTAGTAGGGGAAAGTTAACCCCCCCACATGAGAGAGTTGGTATCAGAGAATAAGAAGGACCTATCCAGGACCAGTCCTTCCTTCAAACAAATTGGTTAGGTTAATGCAAGACAAGGCAGTCTGGACACTTCCCACTGTGGGGCTTTTTGCCTTCCTGCTCTTTTTGGAGGGAGCATCTGACTGTTGCTTTCCGAGAGTGGAAAGATTGTACCTCCCTCAGCACTCATCATAAGAGTTTGCTTCCATCTGAGATAAAATATTCATAGGTGAGAAACAACATTCTTGTACTCTTTCTCTTAAACAGACCTTCTCTTCGATCCTGTTTTTTGAAAGAATGAGGTTGTGAATACAAATGAAAAGGAGACAAATCTGTTAACGCCTTACAGCCAGCTGCAATCCCCGCTCCAGGTAGTAGCTGGACTAAGGTTACCTAGTTCTAGAGAGCCTTCTGTTAAAGGTTTTTAAAAGATGTATGCTATAGAAGTGGGATTGTAGCACCATGGCTACAAACAACATTCCCTGTCTTTGATCTACATGACTTAGCGGCGCTTGTCACATTCGTAATCCAACTTCCTCCACCTGCCCTGTCTGTCTAGCAGTCACTCGTTAATACAGCAAAGGCAGCGAAACAAAAGGGAGGGCAGATGCTAATTTACTCGATGTACTCCTGCTTTTCCAGACAACGTTAATTTGTGGACTCTAACCTGATCCTCAGAGATGCTCACCCTTTCTTCCTATGATTAAAAGGGAGATAACAAATCTGTGGAAGCAGACTTCCTCTGTTAGCAGTAGGCAAACAGGATGGTTTGATCACCAGTTCTTCTAACCAGTCAGGTAACCTCTCCTGATCCCTTCCCCCCCCCCCCCCCCCTTTTTCTTTGCTATCTAGGTGTAGCTGGCTCAGCAGCAGACAAAATTAATCCACTTTCCTACTCACTCACGCTCCTTCTCTGTATTAGAGACTCTGATTACACAGATTGCTTGCCATTTATCTCCACCTGCCATGACTAATACTCTGGTCTGACCTCCTCTTTCTCATTCTCACATCTCTCTGCAGATTCGGTAGATACACAGACAGATGCACACATGCTTGCTCTTTTTTTAATTGCAAGCAGCTCACTAACATCGGTGTTTCCATTTTCAATCAAATCAGATTTGCATCACTGCTGTTTTGCCCAGATTGCTTCAGACCATGAGGCAGTTCCTCCCTTTTGGCTCCTCTCATTACATTTGTAACGCACAGGCTTCACGGATTGCTGCTGCAGCCATACAGAGCCCAGGCACCTCCGTCCAGACACGCAGAATTGAAAACACGGTATTATAAACCCCTGCAGCACGTATAGAGACAAAGGCACACGCTACATGCGCTGAGCAAGTGCACAACACACATTCCTTTTCCCTCCAAATCCTGCAGGAAAACATTGTCTGCAGAGTGCTTTCTTTTAAACAAAAATGCCCTTGCAACACAGGTTCTGTAAATGATTCTGGCAAACCCTGCTCCCGCTCGCTCCCTTACCTTTCCTTAGCTGCTAATCCGGAGGCCCTGGACCTTTTTGCTTTCCTTCTTGCACACAAACTGCCAATCCCTCCTGCTTCACATTCACAGCACACTAGCAGGATTCACCGTCATCCCATTCTGCTGGATCCTTATCACCCTATTGGCCAAAGCCAGACAGTAAATTCAATTAGGCTCCTCCTTATAACTATGTTATCACAGGAACAGGATGAATAATTTAGTAAAACAACTGGGTGTACAGGCTCTGGTGTCACAGACTTCACCCCCACTGGCAGGCTTTTCTCCTATTAAAGAGAGGCAGATAAAGAAACCAGAATCTGTCACTCTTCTGAAAAGGAGACCTTGGATTATCCTCTTGTATTCCCCATTTCTGCCCCTTGTCCTCCTCCCCCTAAAGCTGTGGTACTCCCTGCCTATCCTTGTGCATCCACCCCTAGCCCACAATGCAGAATTCCCCCACTGAATGAGTCGTTACCTTCTCAGTAGATGCAGAGATTTCTGTCCAGGTGCAAAGTGATACTGCAACATATCAAACACTTCACATCTTCCCTGGATTCAAGACATGACAGAAGAATAAAACTGGGCTGCAGTACAGAGTGACAAGACAAGCAGGTCACAAGGAAATAGGAAAATCTCTCTTAAATCATGACATCTTCTATTCAGCAACTACACTGTCATCCCATCAATTCGGACACCCAAGGGGTGCAAGTACATTGTTCCTTAAAGAGAAAGGCTTACATACTCACCATTCAAGGACCACGTGTTCATGTGCCTATTGTGAGAGTTCGCATCTCCTACACCATAAAACTGTGTCAAAGTGGCAGTTTTCCCCCAGGCCAAATGACTAAGTGGTTTCTGACTAGAAACTTGCAGCAACAACTAAAAACACATCTCATTCCCAAGAAGTAATTTATCTGAAAATGAACATTGTTGTTCTTCCTCAATTGAAGCCTCCTCTTGAAGGATTATAGAGCACTGCAGCTTCTCCAAGCAGGGGCACCACTCGCTGTGTCAAGCCTGAGACCTTCTCATGTGCCTGAATGTTTATTTATTATGGGACCAGTGCTGGAAGCAATGGAGCCCAGTGGGACAGCCAACCTCTCCTCATATCAATCCACTGTGACTTAAAAATAAAAAGACAGATAGGATGTAGAAGCATTTTTTCTCCCCTCATAATAATGCTCAGAGTCTAAGAACACCCTGTGCACTCTCCTTCCCCCGTAAGTGTCAATATTTACTCAACTATGTATCTGCTATCATAATATGAGGTCCAAATTCGCATTGGAGCCCAAATTCCTCCATGCAACCTTTATACTAGTTCTCAGTTTGGTTCATCTGCTAGGACTGTCTGGACTAGATAGCAGTTGTGCTCTTCCTCTAGAGGCACTATGGACACAGCGAATTTGAGTTCTCTCTCTCTGTGAAGTCAAACCCAAGCACCAGCATAGCTAGAAAGGAAGACCACCAGTGATGGACAGTTTCCTCAAAGGGCAACGTCTTTCTTTAGACACTTCTCTCATGGTGAAGGACTGATAGGAAACTTGGAAAAACCAAGACATTGGCCAAGTTCTTTCGCATCTAAATTGCTGGACTGTCTACCTCCATCTCAGGCTCAATCCAGGATGGAAAGTCAAACTGCCATACCCAGGAGAATAGTGCTCAGAAATGGCTGATGATTTTAGCTTTCCCACCAAGTTCAAAATGATCTAGGGAGAGCAAAAGTAAGAGCCTTGGTCAAGGTTTTGTTTTATCTTTTTTGTTACAGATTTCTCTTCCACAAAGAAGGGCAAAGCTACCCCTCCGCTCCTGAAGATGCTTTACTTTTGAAGAATGATGGCTGCTCTTTTTTTGCCCTTTCCCTTGCTGCCTTCCAAACTTTTAAGGGTTTTTGTTTTATAGGAAGTCTTGAATTATGCACTCAGTGATAGCTTCAGAGTAATTAAATTAAGCTGCATGGCAAGTTGCCCAATGTCACTATCAAAACTCAGGGTGTTTTAGCATCATTTATTGAAGAGTTTTTATGAGATGCTTACTTAAATCACCAAAAAAAGAATAAATTAGGCTGTTACCATGACTACTAGAGAATCTGCTCAAAATTCAGGAGATGCTCAGTGGGGGAAAACTCTTCAGTGGAGAACTCCACGTCATGAATATGGCCCTTAGTTATCAAATCCCTTTCAAGTTAACTCCTAGAATCAAAGCTTCTCTGACAAAAGGTTTAATAATCAGGAGCAAAGCTTTGGCTGAAAAGGGCACAAGCCAACTCTCCCAGCACTAATGTGAATTTAGTTCTGGTGAGAGGTGCTCAGCTGACAGCTCCACAGAGCAATCACAGAGCTGGCAGCAGTATATGCATGAGGCAGGGTGGGAGAAACAGCATGCGACTTCATCTCAGACAAGTGCTGAATAGAAAGGCACTCATGAATCCTCAGTGCAGTAAACATGAAAGAACTTCCACAGACAAGACATGGAGAGAGAGAAAGAAGCAGGGTCAAAGCTGCTGCCTGCGGAAACCCACTGAAAGTTGGGACAGGATAAGCAAGGTCTTCCACCAACCTCAAGAGGTGAATTAAAGCAGATAAGAAAACAAAATGGCAGAACAAAAGACAGAATGAAAAGTGTCAGAAGAATCTGATAGACTGAATAGATGGAAGACAGGGTACCATTCTGAGCTTTTGCAGGAATTAAATACTTCGAGGGTTGTTGAACACTTGCCTTCAAAGCTGGTTCTCTGTGTAGAAATTGTTTTTTCAGCTGAACATTCTTTTTTTGATGCAGGCCTTCTAAAAAAAGCACTATTTCATTAGAAATTTTTGAGTGAAGTCTTTTGGTTTTCAGTTGCACGTTTTGGATGAAAAAAAAAGAACCTTTCTTTAGAAAACTTTGAGAAAGCTGCATAGTTTCCATGGAAGCAATCACCTTCCTCAATTATTTTTTCTTCAGACAATTTATTGTCATTGGAAGCTTTGGCATGCCCCTCTGAAATGATATCTCACATGGCATAAGTCTCCTTTGGAACAAAGGGACAATAAATAATATTTACAGGGAGCTAACTCAAAATCAAGGAAAAATGAAATAACACAGGCAAATGGAATCAAATGTGAAAGCTTTTCCCAGTCTCTTCATTCCCAGGTGAGAGGAACTGTGCTTAGAGATGAAATACAGGAAGCCATTGAGAAATTTAAGCAAAAAAACCCATATAATTATCGTTGTGAGTGCTATACTTCAAGTAGGATGGTTACCAGGACAAAAGGATGCATACTACAGGGATCCAAAAGTCCAAGAATTTATTTAAAATGCCACTAATAACAACAAATATTAATAGTCAAACTATAACTTCCCCCTCATATGGTGCCCTATTCATCCATTGAGTCTCAAGATGGCCTTATGCAGGGTATCAGAACAATATTTTGGCACCTCAAGTTCTCACTGGGAGGTATTGATCTTCTGAGGAAGTCCTCTTCTTCCTCACCTCTGGGGACCACTTTTATTGGTTGCTTATGTGATCTCAGATTGGTGGGACCCAAATATATAACAAGACTTCAACTGGCTATCTATTTGCAAATGAGACTAATTGGCTATTTATTTTTTTATTTTTATTACTGTTCCTCCTCATGACTTGACAAAGCATTTAACTCGCAAAAAGCCACTATTAGCCAATGACAGTGTAACAGCAGAAGTCACTCGGACTGCAAATAGGCCCTGTAGGCTTCTTTTGGACCTACCACATGGGACAGATCAGAGGTTGGAGTGAGCATTTTTTCATGCTGAATACAGCGTGGTGCCCTCCTGAACAGCTGTCAGCACGGCAAATGTGCTCTTGGGAGAGTGTTACAGTAGTAGAGGCATTCAGTTGACAGGGTTTACAGAAGTAAATCTGAGACATAGGAGACAGGATGAGACAAAGACGAAGGAAAGGGTAATACATAATGGGAGGTGGAGGGGGGAGGAAATGGACTCCTTGGCAATACCTGGGATGTCGTTTTCTGTAGTGAGAGGCTTTTGGGACAAGTTGCATTTTATCTGGTCAAACTGAGGTGTTATCCTGGGGATTCAGTGCTACTATGTATGTGTATGGTGTTCTGCACAAGAAGCATCCTTACTATACTACTGAAAACATGATTGAATGTCCCATATAAGCTCCTAACTAGGATTTTCCATTCTTCAGCAATAGTGATTTGTAATTTCAAAAAACCTTTCAAGGTCTAGCTTGTCTCTAGAAGCCATGAGACGATGGCTTCCCTAGCTACCAAGAAAAAAGCCGCTAAATTTTTTTCTAGTGCCATTCTTTACTTAGCTTAGGAATATTTTTCCATAATAAGTTTATTAGTAGCAGTGACTTCTTGCCATCTCAACTATCATAGTAATATGAGTTCTTAAACAGCCTCATTTTATCCAGCTACGTTCGTCTAACACAAGAAAACACAAACATCAAGTTTCCCATGAAGCTTTCTGAGTGAGAATCTGTTTAATAGAAATCGACTTTTAAAAACCTAACAAATACACCATTTCTTCACCAGATCACCTGCCATATTTTGTAAAATGCTGTTCCTAGGCTGTGAAAGTTTCCAAGATGCGAAAAATGTTCTTGTTTACTTCTAGGACAGTGTTCTACCTTCAGAAGACTGGAAAAGGGAGAGACACACCCTGATCCCACGCCAGCACAGGCAGTATCCCAAAGGTTATGGCACTCATTTAGGATTCGGGAAACAGAGGGCCCAAACTTGAACAAGGCAAACTAGAAACTCATATCTGGGTCTCTCCAGGGCAGTTTTAGGTAACTACCAAAAGTTTATTAGCTATTCCGAAGAAAGACTATCATTATATCTCCTGCTTATTCCACTCTGTATCTAGGCTCCAGTAACACCGTGCCAAAGACTGTGTGCATGGCCAATGGTCAAGACTCTAATATCAGTAGCTTGACTCACAGACTATGGCTTTAACTTTTTTCTCTCACACCCCTGGTGCCTCTAATTCATTATTCTGAGCTACAAATCCTACACTGGACATAAGCAAGCAGAGCAGGCAATTCATGCTTTTTGTTTGTTCTCTTGGATTGCAAAGCCTAATTCATCTTCTAGAGTTTACACCCCTTTTGAAC